ATCCACAACATGCTGCTGTGAGCATGTAAGAAATATTGCTTCTGCGCATTTATGAAATAACCCCAGTATATAACATACATAAAATTACCTTGTAGCTGATCTACAGGTGGAGCTGGGGAAGGTGGGTGGTTTATGAAGAGTACTGCAACTTCTAGAGCAAGCACTAGCCAAATATTTGAATGTTAAGCAGCAAGCTCATTGGCTGCTGATATGAAAAGAAACCAATCAGCTGTGGCATGTGAATAATGATGTCATTATGTCAGACTGAGTTAGAACCAATCAGACTTCACCATCTAGAGTTTCATGACAGAACTTGGGATTTTATTTGTCATAAAAATGTGACTTCATATGTCACAATTGCAATGTTATATATATTATATATAAAATATATATATTTTTAATATTATTTTATATCTCTCAGTTACCGGTTTTATTTTGTACTCAAAAATATGTTTCCGTAGTTGTGTGAAGTAATTTTTTGCACTGATATTGAACAAATCAAATGGCAAGATATTCATAGATTTCAGAAACACAATGAAATGTTGATATCAAGTGATTGGTTGTTGAAAATGAACATTTCAACATTGAAAGCCACCTAAAATAATTTAATTCTCTCTTACTTACGATTAGACTCGACAGGCCATCTAACTCCTTCTCTGGTTAATGTCAGTATGGCCAGGATGCTGAGAGCACACTGAACAGACAGGGTAAGAAAGCAGAGGTCAAATCAATAGAAAGTAGTTATGGAGTCATGTTTTTCAGGCTTTCAGCTGTTGAGAGACAGCTGCCAAATTCCCAATTCCCCACGGCCTGGACTGTCCTTTGCATTCAGTGGCTTTGGATTGAGCTAGGCACAGAAGTGGCTGACAGATTGACAAGAGAACACAACCTTAAAGAGATACTGAAGAGAGAACCTTGGCAGTGGCTGCAGGTAGACGCTTCAAGACAACTAAATAAAAAACAAGATGTTCAGCAAAGTTCATTAATGTTTACTTAGGGGGAAATAAAACACTTCTTACGACACTAGATAGAATATGCCAATAGAATAAAAAAAGATTGACAAGAAGACAGTGGAAAAGAGAGAGGAATGAGACTGGCACATGATGACAGGCCTGAGTTGAGCCGACTGTAAACTACTGTAGAGATTGTGCAGAAAAAACATGTATTTCTTTTCTACATCTGATGCATTCTGACCTGTAGATATGCTTCATTCAGACAGTGTTCTTGCTTGTTTTTTTT